TACGCGGCGCCCTTACTGGCACTGGGGTCCCCATGCTGCTGTGGGTCCCCTATGAGGCCTCCTCCCTGCCCCCTCTTCTGGCCTTCTCAAACCACCGGTGATACAACAACAAAGCAAAACACAAGCCCCTAGGCTATAACTTAACTTAAAGCCGCCCGGCTGAAACCACATAGCTCAAACGTCGCAGAGCTGCCATCCTTTACCCGGCATGGGCTGTACCTGCAGTTCTCGCATCTTTGCTCAGGGAGCTCCTTTCTCTCCGGCTGCCGGCCGGGGCTACCCCTGGCCTCCTGCCTGTGATTTATATAGGAGCCAGGCCCTGCCCCTTTCAGTCAGCTGACCTCCTGCATGCCCTGGCAACCCACAGCTGGGCTCCTTATACCCTGCTAGGGCTCTTTCCCCAGTAGTTTCCCCTCTTTAGGAACAGGGCACCTCAGTGCCCTGTGACAGTCATCTTTCTCAAGTAACTGCAGACCCTGGGAGGTATCCACTTTGGACCAACACGGTAATGCAATTAGCACTGGAAGTCACAGAGTCAATGGACTGGAAGGGACCTGTAAGATCGAGTCCAGTCCCCTGCCATAGGCAGGAGGTTAAAGAGCTCAAGCTAGCTCAATGAGGTGCTTATCCAGCCTCCATTTGAACACCTCCAAGGATGGCTACAAAACCAGCTTTGCTGGGAGTGTGTTCCAGCTTCTAGTTATCCTTATGGAGAAGAAGTTCTTTCTTATGTCCAGCCTAAATCTGCCCTCTGTTAGTAGTTATACCAGGCATTAATTAGGCCTGAATTCTTTGTTGTTTGTGTCTAAGTGTATGCACATGTATGTGTTTGGATTTTTACTTTGGGGAAAACAAGACTCATTTGTCAAATGTGTTTGGCTCAGTTCTTCCCATCCATAGACCACCTGGCCTTATGACTCCCAGAATTTGTAAATGTTGACTGAGCCATGATGGTATCGGTATGTACAAAACTCTTAAAGTACCAAACTTTGCAAGTTGTTTCAACCCCTGGGTGTCCTTCATTCAACAGAAAAGGTTTAGCTGCCACAGATTTTCAGCACCTGTGGAGAAGAGGCCTTTGTACAAGTGCTCATGCCTTTTTTCCTGCAACAAAAATCTATACAAAAACAAATAAATAAATAGAAATAAATAACAACAGGGACTACAAAGAAAGATGTTAAACCTAGGAAGTCAGAGAGAGGAGATAGCAAGGTAGCTATGGGTGTTGTTAGATGTTACACCTTTCCCATGTGCTAAATGCTCTTAAGATGGAAATGTCTGCATAAGGCAGAAAATGTTAGCTAAGTGGGATATAAACATCTCAGAGTTATGCCTCTTTGAGTGAGGACTATTTCCAGGTAGTATCATGGAGCTCATCTTGTAATAGCATCGGTCTGCCCCATGCGGACAATAAAGCAACTTGTGGTCCTCCAGCACCCCCAGCCACTCCCCTCATGTATTGTCCCAGACTGACAGAGCCGAGCAGCCGCAGGGGATCCAATGAGCAGGCAACTGCAGGAGAGTCAGGGGGAAAGGGGGAGAGGGTGGGGAGCCATGGAGCTGGCAGCTGTGGGGGAAGCTCAGGAGTCATGAGACAGCTGAAGAGGTGGGCATCTGAGGGGTAGAATTGGCAGCTCCTAGCCATGTCCCTGCTAGGAGCAAGTCAGAGAAGGTACAAACCCTTAATGTGTTCATAGCACATTCATACTTTAAAACCTCATAACATGCCATAGAGTTATGATGTGCGTGTGTAATGTCTGACAACACCCTATGAGTTTGTTGTGAAGCTGTCAAGGAAAGGAGTATTATCCTTGGAAGTATCTGTTAAGGAAAGCATGCAATTATACAGTAAGAAACAATCTTCGTAATGTTATCCCAGGTGCAACTTCGTCTGGATTACTATATGCAAGCGTGCTTTCTTGTTTAGGATAGTTAGAGAAAAGCAAAAGAAAATACATAGGGAAACAGAAGAGTGGTTTGCCTTTCAGAGGTCCCAGGCAAATTTTCAGTAATAGGACTCTGCTCTTTACTAGGCAACCATCCTAAAGTTACCATACTAAAAATTCATCCAGGACCCCTGGGGTCCTTGCACAGTTTGCACTAACCTTATGCCAGTTTGGAAGGGAACAATAAAAATGTACAAAAAAAAGGTGGCTAAGACAATCAACCCTAAGTCAAATGAGGTGTCTTTTTAGTCATGAGGATCCAGCAAAGGAGTGATAATTCCAATAACTGACTTAGATGTACAACAGATTTAATTAGCAAATAAATACTCCCTACCCTCAGAAATGCAGGGTGCTGTTTCTTGATACTAGAACACCAGACATTAATTTGTACATCATTTATCTTAGCTAAGGAGCATGATACAGAGAAGTGGTTAGCTGTCTTAATTTGAAGTCAGTCAGATGCAGCTGACAAAGTATTGTATTGCCTATGAACACTCATGCCTCTCTGCCTAGACAAGATACACTACAATCTAGAAAACATAAAACTGGAAAATGATCATAGCCTACACATTGTAGTGGAAATATAGAAATTATTCACCGTATCAGTAGATAATAGGATTTGTAACTACAGAAGGAATAACTGACGCAAGAATAGTTATGTTGCATTCTTTTATGACACTGCCACTTCAGAAGCTTGTCCAAAACTCTAAGAAATCCATTTTTGGACAGAAATAGCTTGTTACAAACCACTGAAGGTAGCTTTCCCTTATTCCTTGTATTAAGGCACAATACAGTACACGGCACTGGCTTCATACATTCCCACCCCTTTCCTGCATTTGACAGACTTGCTTGAAGAATATCTTTCTTGAAAAAAAGCATCAGAACTAGAATGAGTTACTGGAAATTCACAATTAAAAAATGAAAACATAACACTTAGGCATCTTGTTTTTCCAATCTCAGCTTTATAAAAGTTATGAGTGAAAAATTTAGGGTCCCAGTGGTAAGTTGTATGCTCATCTTTTGATTAATGGAGTAGGGACCACAGATAGAGTTCAAGGGATTTGCGCACACATTCCACAGCTTCTGCATGGAAGGTACCTTAGTCCAGCCACTGAAATACTTCTCAGTTGCCCAAGTGCCACTGGATCCTGGGCCTGCTTTACCCCTCCCTGCTTTGGTAATATACATCCATTCTTGCCTATTCTAAATGAAGTGATCTTCGTTTAGAAGCAAGGAGAGGCATCTGCCTCTGTGAAGGTAGTATCTGGATTCATTCGATAAGTGGAGGCTTTTATAATTAAAAGAGAAAACACTCGTACCGCTCATCAGATGTCCATCAGGGAGAAAACCTTTCTGTCCAAATCCAGATGAGGAATGGCATACACTTTCAGCAGCACAAATTTGTGCTGCTTTGTACCACAGCCCATGACCCTACACATGCCCTTTGCTGCGGGCCATACTCAGCTCTTCTTGGATCCTGGCTGGGCTCCACATGCTGTGGGGAGGGGCTAGCTGGGGCACATGGTGCTCCAGTGTTGGGCTAGCCAGCAGGCAGCCCCCACGCTAAAGCACCCTGTGCCCCATCCAGCTGGGGAGCAGCAGGTGCAGCACCCCGTCTCTGCATGCTGTGGAGCCCCCAGGCTGTGGCACACTGCTCCCCAGCCAGCTGCGAAGCAGGGCACATTTTAATTTGCAGCATGGGACATTTTTTAACGTTTGCCACATGTAGCTTGTGGTGCCACAAACCACACTTGCCTGCACGTCTGGATGTTAATATTGTTTCACGCACATTGAGTACTATAGACTCTTAGATTCAAACACAGAATACTACAGCAGCTGTGTGATGTGGAAAGTCAAGATTAAGTAGACACAAGTGGTATTCATATGTCTGTCTGCAAAGCTCACATTAATCTTCATTTGAACCATTTTTTAAAACAAACACTTCAATGATCTTTGAAAATAATTAAGCATCATTACCTAACACTTGTATGTAAACTCTGAACTAACAAACTAGTGCTTGTAGATATGTGATGGTGGAGGTGATAGTGAAGAAACCTTGTTTGGTAATGTCCCATGTTGATATCTAATATGGAATTCACATTCCAAAAGTTATTCTTAATCAAAATTAGTCTTAGAAAAAAATAATTATAGTAAACATTATTGTATAGGGTCCTGCTAAGAAGAGATGAACTGAAGCCTAGATTCCGAATACCGCAATTCTTGAGGAATCAATATCTGAACTCAGATCCAAAGCCTTCTGGTCAACAGAACCGCCCAAATCAGAATCCGAAGTTCAAATCACAGGTTCAAACAGTACATGAAAAAAACCCAAAAAACAGAACAAAACAAACAAACAAAAAAACCACAACAAAAAAACCAAACAGACCTGAAAGCAAATTTCAGAATGGCACACACATCTATAATCTGTTAAAAACTGAATGCCTGAACCTGAAAAAAACCTCAAAGGCTGGAAGACATTGAGATATATTTAAAAAAAAAAAAAAAGAACTTCCCCTTCTTCCCCTACCTGGACTTTCTCTTGTTATAAAGACTATTAATAAAGAAAAGGATTACTTCCCTACTTCTCTTCTATAATTGAATATTCCTAAAGATACTAGTTTGCTTTTATAACCAGTGAAGTTTTGGGCTACAAGTAAAAAATGGAGAAAGGAAGCTACACAGAACACAGGAGAATAACAGTATCAACACGAAGAGAGCAAAGTAATCCTGTCAACCAGAGTGGGTAAGTTAAATTAGGGATTAATTGGTAGACTCAGTAAGAAAGGGCTCAAATGCTAGCAAAATCACCTTGCTTCCATTCTGAATCTCTCTTTTTATTTGTAAGACTGGCATTACAATTGAAAAGGACTCAAAATGGAGTGATGTATACATCATTGGTGTTTCATGATGCAACTGATGGAATCCCTGAATGGATATTGCTTCAGCTTTCATTTAAAAAATGGTCTAACAAGAAAATCTTTAACTCCACTATTGATCACAGGTGGCAGAAATGAAAGGAAGAGAAAAGGAAAAGAAATCAAAACTACGGTCAAGTTCATAACATATACATTGTTGGCTGATGACACTGGTTCCAAATGTACAATAAAGCCCACAACACTTTATTACTATGAATATATTTGTGAATGTTTTTTTCTCATGTTGATCAACTTGCTTCTGAAGGTTGTTTTTCTTTTTTGTTTTAAACTTGCATAATAAACATGCAATGAAACATTTCTTTTTAAAGTGTTTTTTTTTGCAGTCGTCTTGTTGTCATACAAAGATTTCATAAAGTTGCAGTGTTGCATCAGAGCATTACCAAAATAAGAGCGAGAGCTAAAGAGGAAGGTAAATGTGAATTTAACGTGATGAGAATAACCTACTCTTGTCCTGAGACACTCCAGTCTTATTAAAAAGGTGTGCACAGTCGAACCCCTTCCTCCCAAACCTACTAAAACACAAAATAATATTAACTTGGAAGAAAAGGGAGGACAGAAAGAAAAAATAAGATGTCATCATGCACTCATCTTCTGCATAGCTCAACCCACATATAGTAAGGCACTATTTCCCCACAACTTAGTGTCCACAACAATCTTTTACAGTGCTCTGTGAACTATATAGTTCCTTCCAGAATGATGAAATAAACAGATTGAATGAGTGTCGCTACCACGTGACCCCATGTGTGATCTTATAGTCAAGGGTGTCTTCTGGCAGTCTTGGAAATAAACCATCTCAAGTCTCTTTGTGTATGTGTGTGCATGTTATGCATGGGGATTTTTTTAATGTTTTTTTTTTTCCAGAGTTTCTGTTTTAAATTGTCATTGTTCTTTACTCCTGTGTTCTCAAAGCATATACACAAAAAACTAAAAGCACAGTCAAATCATTGAGAAGAGAGCATTGGTGCTCCAAAAAGCACACAGCTTCTGAGATTTAAGAAGTCTGCTAAACATTCCCAAAGGAGTTGGAAAATGCATGGATGTATTTTCAAGTGCACGTCCTCATCTGTTCTCAGTTGAGCTGATCTTCGTACTGTTTTCGGAAGCAATCGCCAGCAGGGAAAAACTCCCAGCACCGTTCTTGATACATTTTCCATACATAGGATTCCTGCAAGAACCAGAGATTTAAATAATTAATCTCATTCAATGAGAGTGCATTAGGTATGTTTCAGCTTTTAAAGGAATCTAATATGCTGCTCCACTGTTCTGATTCAATTCTTATTGATTTGCTGTGTATCAACCTGCAAGTGGTAAAGTACACTAATAACTCCATTCATCTTGGATGACACTTTTACGTTTCTATCTCCTGACTGAAATATATAAATGTGTGCAAATATATGCTAATGAGTAGTTAAAAGGGATTCTGAAACAGCTCAGAGAAATCATCAATAAAGACTAAAATATTTGCTTGCTGTTTCATGACTAAGAACACCTTAAATCTCCATTTTAGCTGGATGCAACACATCATAGCTAAAAACTAGCTTTTTCATGGTCTTTGAAGGAATATTAGGTAAATTTCTGTATCACCCTTTTCAAAACATGTCTGTGATATTAAGAAAAGAAAACAATATAAGTTTTTAGTATAACCCATAGATGAGAGTAGTTTTCTTAAGAAGGCTTTTCATCTTGGTAGTTTTGTTCATTTTGTTCAGATTATGGCACAATGAGAACATATCAGATTGTTGCCTACTTAGTGGCAATGTTTCATGTAAGTTTTTAAACATGTAAATTGCGTCCAGGTCCCATACTAAAGTGTGCTTAAAAATGTGTGATTAATTAAATGTAGAGTATGATGTATATGGAAAAAGACACATTCCTCCCAATTCAAGAGTTATCAACTACTCTCAGATAGATTTTTCAGGTTTAGGTAGATTTACCATTTCATGACTCTAGGGAATGCACATCAATGTAGGTTAGTCATTTTCAGTTCATTCATTAAATAGTTCAGGAAAAAATGGAAAAAAATTCTCCTTCTGAGCAACTTTGATGAAGTTAAGGCAAGCTTGTAAACAACTCCCTTGCCTGTTCAAATGCAGCAGAATAAATAATGGGCAGAGGGTGATTGGGGTGCCAGCCCCAGTAGCCAGCATGCAGCCGGCTGAGCCACCAGTGCTGGCAGCATCTGATGCCCTGTCTGGCATTGCTGCCAAGGGGAAGAACTGCCCAGTTACATGTCTGTTCAAAACACTACACGTTGTTTCTTTAGATTTATATTAGGACAGTGGTTAGCAGAGTGGGTCTGTTGGTCAGATCTAGTCTGTGAGCCCAATCTGGCCTGCCCGGGATCAGTGCCATATACCTAATCATGGGCATGGCCCCACCCTGGATTAGGCCTGCCATCCCAGTCCCTCATGCACTGGGTTGGGCCCCACTATCCCAGCCCTGGCCTTACATGTGTGGAACTGGGCCCTGATACCTCAGCCATGATGCTTTGCATGTCAGATTGGGCTCCACCACTCCAGCCCAGCCCTGCACATGCTGGATCAGGCCCTGTCACCTCACCCTTCCTCAATACCCATGCAAGGCCATGTTATCTAGTCTGTGGAGTTTGGAAATATGCCAGAGGAGTCCCAGTGCTAATTGCCGCTGTTTGCCCCATCAGATTTCCAGAACTTTGGGAAAATCCACTGTCTGAATAACACAGCTCCATGGACTAGATATGGCCTGTGGGCTGGGCATTGAGTACCCCTGCATTAGGACATTGAGAAAAATGACTTATGTGATTCATAGATGCTAGGATCAGAAGGGGCCTCAACAGATCATCGAGTCTGACCCCCTGTCTAGGCAGGAAAGAGCACTGGGGTCAGATGACCCCAGCCAGATGCCTATCCAGCCTTCATGTGATATGAAGCATTACAATGGCTTTTATTAAAAATGCTATAATCTGTGAAAGTGATTGTAAAAAAAGGACAAAGATAACTGTATCTAAATGATTCATAGAAGAAAAAAAATGTTGGCTATTGACTTTGACATTTGTTGGTATACTTTGCTCTTGAATCCTCAACCTAGATTTTATATAGTAGCAGTCTCAATGTACTCCATAGTAGCTAATGAGATGCTGGTAGCTTCTCTCTATAAAACACTGTGAGACTTTTGGGTTCAGTGAGTAAGTTAAAGGAGAAGTAGTAAGAACAGTTACTGTGTAGGAAAAAGTTTGTGGCCTGTTTTATGTCTATTTTCTAAAATCAGCTAATTGGTACTCAGATCTTCCCTGCTATCTTTAGGCATGTGAAACAGGGGGCTTCTCGGGGCCGATCTCCATGGCCCGCCCACGTGTTCTTGGGCCAACCACCTGCCTTCTCTCCTGCCATGCTTTAATGTTAATTTATTAATTAATTGATGTCAATTAAGCGGGAAGCTACCCATTTTACTGCCCCAATGCCAGGGGGCAGTCTCTGCGGCTCCTTTCCTCCCCTATACCGCAGCCCAAGCCTCGCAGATGGCATCTTGATGTTTACATAATCACCGGCCCCCACACTGGGCCCCAGAATCCTCCTAACAGGACCCCTCCATGATCCCTCCACTCAGGCAGCCTCTCCGCCTTCATTCAGGCTACCTAGCCCCCGAAACTATTTTGCCCTCTCGGGTGTGGTCCCCCCAGGACCTCTGGCTACCAGCCCTGGCCCACCTCCAGGCCAGTCGGGACTCCAGGCCCCCGGCTCTTGGGCGTCCCTCGTGGTGGGCCCCTGGCCCTTTTGACCGTCCTGGTCCTGGCCCCAGCATGGGCCAGTTGAGGGTACTCTCTTGTTCAGGTCAGGTCTCCAGCCCCTCACTCTCTTCCGGGGTCTGCCCTCTGGGCCCTTCACACAAACACAGGGGTTACCCACCCGGTGGTGGGGGCTAGGGGTTAAGGTGCCCCGACCCGCCTTTCACTGGGGTGGTAACTGGCCTGGCATTTCCTGGGGGCTCCCGCACCACTGGAAGTCCCACCAGACCACCCACTCCCGGCAGGGTGCAGTTTTAGGTCATGCCCAGGACCAGGAGCCTCCTGACCATCCCCTACAGTTCCTCCCTTACATCCAGATGATCTCAGCAGCCCTCCAGCAGCCGAACTGCCCTGTTTATATAGGCAGACCCTGACTCAAAATGGCTGCCCTCATCAGGCACCTGGTGGCTGCCAAGTGGCAGGCGCACACAGTGCCCTGCCACAGCATGATACTAAGAAAATGCCTACGAATAATCCAGAAATAGTCCACCTTTACATTACCGTTTTAATGCATACAAATGCACGAAAAACTACAACTTCACAAAAGTTACGGTTATTTATTCGTTTTTTAGTTGTTCTCAATTTTATGAGGTAAATACAAAAAAGCTCTTAGTCATATATATGAAACTTTAAGCTGAATAAAAAAAGCCAGTGCCCCAATAATGCCCTGCTACATTGCCCCAGTGTTTTATTTGGTCCTTGATGCAAGAATAACTTTATGAGTTGGTGTAACCTAGGACCATCATGAACTTATCACAAGTAGCTGGTTGGAACAGTCAGTGATCACTGGTATGCGGTATGTTCTAATCTTTACATAACCCATGGATCACTCTTTGCCAAGGGAATTTCCAACTGGCCACTTATGTCAGTTATATGTCTCCGGGTTGCATTGCCATTGTAGTGAGTATACAAACCAGTTTCATGGCCCACAAACATGAGCAAAATCCATGAAGCCATATGTTCTCCTGTTTTAAAAGATAATTTACTGTCCAAGGGGTCTATTCTCCACCTGAGGGACACTGGTTACACCAATGAATCACTGCATTCATTTTAAATAATGCACTGTATATTTTCAAGGGTGACTCCTCTGCCTGTGAATAATATACTAAAATCTGAATGACAATATTTAATTGTAGAAAATCCCTATATCAGGCATATTCAATAGCTCAGAGTGTTCTTGGTTCCCTTTCATTTAATGAAAAACATGCATAACTTCCTAGACTGAAATAAATACCAGTAGTTATACTCTAGCTTCAGTAATTGCAGCGGGTTAGTGCACATGATAAGTAATGCCTACCAATGACGCAAACACAAGTGCGGTAGTATTTTTCCATGATAGCAATTAAAAATGATGAAAACAGGAGTTAAATATCTTAGTGTAGTTTAATATGCAAAGGACAAAATGACTATTCAGAAATAGCAAAAAAAAATAAAAATCTTCAGTTGGTTAAAACTAGAAAATAAGATGTACAGACAAGAACATAATTACAGCAGTTCAGTATATCGCTCAGGTTTCAAACAGGACAGCTTAGACAACCATACAGTGCAAATGTGTTGTATCCCAGTAGTGCATGTCAGTTTGTGATTTGTTTTTGCTTTTTACTGGAAATGTTCTGCAACTACTAAACATTTTACTGATCACTTACACAGCTCTCAAAAGGAAAGATGCGTGTAAGCATGACATTTTTTTTGCTAAAAACTGTACCGAAAAGAGGTTCAAGGTAAAGGTTTGGAGAACAACAACAACCACAAAATGGGGGAAAAAAATCTTAGATGCTTTTCTTTCAAAGATTTTGACTTATACTTCCACAACATTCAAGCACAAGCTGCTGCAAGTTGATTCATCATATACATTTTTCCATGGAATTAAGACCATTATGCTCCAAAATTGCCTCTAGCTACATCCAGTGGTTTAATGCACAGCTGTGCCTTCTAATGCTTCTGTAGAGCTTAGTGCAACTAATACAAAGTAAATATGAAACCATAGTTCTCATCTGTTCAAAAGTGATCTGGAAGTGGTATACAGCACTGCAAAGTGTCTCTGGGCAGCTACTTGTGCTTGACTGCTCTTGTCCATGTGGCAGTCCTGTTTATCATGACAGTAATGGCAGTGAAATCAGTAGGATCGTATAAATGCCTTTTTCACCTCAGGGGAGAGAAGAACACAGGAAGCATAGGGATTGCTAGTCCTCAGTAATCAAGACATCTAGCCTTTTTTAGGTACAATTTTGTGAAATTTAGGAAATTTTAGTTTTCTCTCTCCTTTTCTTACATGTATGCCACCTCCCTGGTTTTCAGGTGTATTTGGACTATACACAGTTAATGGACATACTACTGCAAGTTATGTAGCTGTAACATATAATGAGAAAGTTCCCCTGCCTTTGTTAAATATGTGAATACTCAAACAATTCAAACATGACAATGTCTCTATATTAACTGTTATTACTCAAGAAATAGATCTTGGAATTATTGTGGCTAGCTCTCTCAAAATGTCAGCACAGCAGCTGACTGTGGGGTACAATTTATATGCTTAAATTCAAATTCAAGATTGTTGTCCTCATTTAAAGATTCTATCTTTACCATAACTGCCTCTAATTCTTATAAACCTGCCTCTAATAGATAACACCAACTTTCATTATTGATTATAGTTACATGGAAGGACACAAAACTTAAAAAAAAATGGAAAGCCCTGACAACTTTGATGTGAATTTTATATTAATTTCACATAACAGAGTGAATGCACAAAAATGAATGAAGGAGGTGGGAAACAGAGACATCAGAAAATCAAATTACTTGATTTAATGTTTTAATGGAATATTCATATATAGTAGGGCTGTGCGAAGCTTCGGGTGGTGATTTGATTCAGAGGAGATTTGGCCCGATTCGGTGGCCGAATTTCTGAATCTGAATAGAATCAAGGGACCAATTAAAAGGTCCAAATCAATTCAAAGCTCTCCAAATCTTCAGAAAAGATTTGGAGAGCTTCAGTGATTTGAACAGTCCCCGCCCACTGCAGCAGGGAGGTGGAGCCCAACTTGGACTAGTAAGTAGGGGGTGGGGAAGAGGGGTTGGAGGTGGGGGGAGGGGCCCATGGGGGACCCCTACCAGGCTCCATCCCCTCCATGCTCCCCCAGCCCTCCCATGGCTGCCCCGCCCATCCCAGCTCTGGCCCTTTAAGAAGAAAAAAAAAAACAAGAAAAACACCGGGACTCACTGCTCCTGCTGAGGCCTCAACGCTTTGAGGGGCTCATGCACAGCCCCCATCATGGTGGCTGGGACGGTGGCGGGGGGCTGGGGGCTCATGCAAAGTCCCTCATGCAGCTTGGGGCAGTGGGGGGCAACATGAATTGCCCCTCTGCCCAGCAGCACCTGGTAAGTTAGGGCTTTTTTTTCCCCCAAAGTGCTGGGAGCTGGGGTGAGCGGGGCAGCCATTGCTGGGCTGGGACAGTGGGTCAGGGGTGGGCCTGGGTGATTCAGCTGAATCAAGGGGGCTGGGGGCTCATGCAAAGTCCCTCATGCAGCTTGGGGCAGTGGGGGGCAACATGAATTGCCCCTCTGCCCAGCAGCACCTGGTAAGTTAGGGCTTTTTTTTCCCCCAAAGTGCTGGGAGCTGGGGTGAGCGGGGCAGCCATTGCTGGGCTGGGACAGTGGGTCAGGGGTGGGCCTGGGTGATTCAGCTGAATCAAATTGGGACAGTAATTCAAATCACCAAATTGAATCACTGTCCCACGAATCAGCCGAATCCTAATACAAAGTGAATACTAGCCGCTTTGCACAGGCCTAATATATAGTTACTTATAGTTTTATCTTTTGACATTTTTGTGGAGCCAGCTTTAAGACTGCAAGGTAAGTTACTGATCAGAACCAGGTTTACAGTGCTTACTTACCTGTCCCGTGTGCTCTGTTTCATCTTTGTTAATGAGATACATCAGAAAAAACCTACAAAACAAAGAGAAGCTTGTCAGAAGCAAAGCATGTGGGAATATAAAGGCAACATGGACAGATAGATGGATGTTCACCATTACATTTTATAGGGTAATAAGAATTCTGCTAATACATGTAAAACAATGTTTCATATACAATATTTATATATACAAAAACTAAATAGAGCCTCTAGATAAATTGACTGAAACACTATAAGAGACTCATTATGGTTTCATAAATCCATCTTGCAGCTGAAATGCTTTCCCAATGCCCTTGGCAGAAGTATTATAGTTACAAACATTTTCTTGACTCAGACAAGTAAATTGGGTCTAATTGTAGACACTAGCATTGGCAAAGAGTCATTATGACTTGTTCCATGAGTAAAGGCATTACTAAAAATGTTAAGGATAGTGGATATTTTCTTAGACCTTGTCTAGAAAAACAGGCAATACTAATGATAAAGATATAATAGCAAAGACAAATCAGAGAGAGGCCAGTAAAGGGCAATGAAAATGGTTAGGGGACTGGGGGACATGGAGTATAATTTCCAAGGCTTTTTAAATACCAAACAGAAAAAACTGAAATTCCTTCACGTGGAACTATATTGGCAGCCACATAAGTCATAAGCAGGGTTGGAAACTTTAAAGCAATGGCACAGATCCCAGCCATGTGACTTAGCAGATTAACTGAGAGTAGCAGTAGGTGCTCATTCCCTGTGTGGACCAACACTAGAGAGGACAGACACACTCTGCCAGAGGATTTCATAGATTTTTGCTGCTGGCAGTGGAATAAGGACACTTGAGGATCTTGGATTCAGAAACTGGGCTCCTTTCTTGACTCTAGAGAGCAATGTGGTCAAGTGCTGTTGACCTGTTTGCCCCTCTTCATCCAAAACATGACCCTTAATGTCCCTATCCATTTTAGTGCGTCTCTTTCCTCCTTAGCTCCTTATTCTGGACTTCATCTGGACTCCATCTCACCCCTATTTCCTTACTCAGACAACCCCCTCTCCTCCCATCCAGGCTCCCAGTTCCATTCTATCTACTTCTCAGTTCCTTGTCTCAGGGGTGCTCTTGCTCAAGAGTCCTAGTCTCCTTCCACATCCCTATAGCCATGTAGACTGGGTTATATATTCATTCCACTTTTGCTATGAAATAAAGTACATTTACTCCATAGTAAATATAAATAGTTTATAAAACAGATAATCTTCTTGCTCTCAGTTCCTATATTCAACACCACAGTCAAAAAACAGCTAAAAGCTGCAATTGAATGGAAAGTCGTACTCATACCCTGCTACTCTGGCCTGAATTATGTTCAGTGCATATAGAACATTAAAAATTTAGCTACCAAACTCTAACAAGTCTCTGCTGTTCACGTATGAACTGAGATTTTTCAAAGCCATGGAACTTGGTAAGATTTAGTTACATTTTCCTGGGAATAGAGTACAACCTTGACACAATCGTGATCGAATGCCAAATTGTAAGCCTTTGCTTAATTGCTGTTCCTCCCTTGTATTACTGACCTGGCAAATTAATTGCGGGGGATGATGGAGGTCATGAGTTACAAAAGAATTAGTGATTATTGTACTTACAGATAGTTGGCCAAGTTGTGCTCCTGTAGTGTGTGTGTTTCAAAGCCATGCGGCACTGTATCAAAGTAGTCATTTCCTATCCCACAAATAAAGCATTTGGTCTAAAAAAATAATAGAAAATATCCATGTAGCTTCTTTGAGAAAATCCAGGAAGCATGCAGTAGAGATTCCAATACAGCATGTAGAACAAAAAGCTTTTCCTTTAAGGACTGAGACCAGAAAACACAGCCAAACACTTTGAATGGATATTTAATTGCTGTCACAATCACTTTGAGCTGTTTGTTAAAAAATCTTTGGCACCAATAACTGAATGAGAACACATCAGGAGAAAGAATGGCATGAATTAATCAAAGCTGAAAAGCAATTTTTCCTTCCTGTGCTCTGAATGTAGGGGTCAATGTAGTCCATAACAATCTGTACCTCAATGGTAGTTAAGTTTACCCAGCTGAAATTGAATATGCTCTCAGCTGAGATTACACAACACAGCAGGTACTTGATACCTTCCAGAATTCTGACAGTCACATTTAAATAAGAAAAGAGAAAACCTGAAGGTACAGCATACTTTCACCTAGGTTCTACAAAAAAATATGCACCTAAGGTTACCCATAACACTGATGTATTAACGCTGAATATTGTGAGCCTCCACCTGTATGCTTTGAGATTCAAATAGCTGCTAAGATCACATTTTTATATGTAGCTACAGATGAAAATTTTTTCTTAGAAACTGAAAAAGCCTTAAAGTTAACACAAAGACACACAAGACATACAGAAATACATGTGTAGGTGTTTTGGATCAATGTTTGTTACTTTATCAACCAGTAGCTATTCCCCTTCCTGATGAGAGAATATTGAAGTCACAGGAGTGGGGAAACAAGTCTAAAATATGCCCTGAGCAGAACATCAGTTTTGATAAACTACAACTGTGTCCAGCATGATTCTAATCAGTGCTGCCAGAGCACAGTTCCAGCACATCCATAAATTCCCTAGGAGTATCTTTATGGAGATTATAGAATTGCATATGTAGGCTTTTAAAGGATATAGTTAGTACCTGATTTAAAAAAAAAAAATCAATCAGTCAAAAATAAAATGAAAGCCTATCACAGTGGATCAAACTCTTAGTTCTATTTCTGTGGTTTCATGAGGTACAAATGAGAACAGAATTCTGCTCAGTGCTCTGCACAACAGCGCACCTTTTGTAGTAAAGCAAATCGCATCCTCTCCCGTCAGCTTAAAAACTATTATCCCCTGTATAGTTCACATTTTGATAATACTTTCACGTAGCTGGTACTTTTCTGTAAGTGCCTTACAGCTCAACAACAAGGAGGTTATAACTTCTTACCTCCATGTCTTCTTTAACTTGCTCTTGTTGGTCTCTCAACTCCCCAAAAGCATCAATTATTAAACCTGGTGTTTGAATAAAAATGAGACTTAGCATTCCTGGGTAGAACTGGGAGGAAACCCTAGAAGTCAAGGCAGATTTCTGATGGTGTAAAATCAAGTAATTTTCATGCAGAGCTAGTACGTAAATGCATTTAACTGATCAGAAGAGACAAAGTGAGCACTTGATACCTGGCTGACAGCAATCTTTGATTTTGTACAATGTATTTTCAGCAGGTTCTTGAACGAGTGATTTCCTGTTTTAGGTATAAGAGGTTTAGCTTTGACTATTGTATGGCAGGTTAAAGTAGGCCAACATTTATGCAGCAATGGGGCTATTAATACTGAGCATTATACTAGTATATATTTACAGTGTTTGCAGATTTATTGTATGAATGCTAGAGAAAGAACTAGGGGCTATGTGCATGTTGTTATCCCCATGTGTGTCATTTAGTAATGGAGTGTCATTAACAGCACTCCATGGAAATCATGGGCCATTTTTTTACAGAGACAGGAAAAAGAAGAGGAAATAAAAGCTGCACTAAGGTCAGAGACCTAGATTACAAAATTAAATGTTGGACTCTTCCATCATTTATACTACTTTTAAGTCAGCACTAACTCTGCTGGAGTTGAAGAGCTGCACTGCTTTAACACAGGTAAAAGCAAGATGCATATTGTACCTGATTTTTAGAATAAAGGCCTTTCAACTATCGCCAATGTCATAGCAAAGGGATGTCAGATAAACATTTTAAAATTAATTTAGAAATCAACAGCCAGACAGTGCGGATGATAGAGCACAGAGTTAAAGCTTCAATCTCAGTGAGCTAGCTCTCATCCATACCTCGTTATTCTACAGGCATTAAGTAGTCAACTTGACAGCTCAGTTAGTAAGCAGACAAAGTGACACTGGGTACTATATTACTATCAGCCTTAACAGCAACACCTCTATCCTAGAATCCACCTACTTTGGTATATCCTTAGATTAATACTCTTAGTTCAAGGATTCCAAATGAATCATTTGTATCTTCTCTTTTTTGATTTAGGTTAGCATTTACAAGAAAGGCAATGGTGAACATTATGGTATGGACACACACAACACTTATAATGGTCTAAATTCTGTTTAAATCAGAAGAAGATGGACATACAGGGCCAGTAAACTGGTTTAAATCTGACTGGAATGATTCAAAAGTGTACCTGGAAAATCAAGTACTGTTTTGAACCAGTTCAGTGTTGTGTATGATGCATGGATTCACCAACGCCATTTATACATATACCTTTTAGTTCTTGGACACGCTGGCAACCCACCACTTCAGAGCAGATTCGATTAATCAAGTCTGCTTCACATGGGAGCTGACACACACTGCACTGCACCGCTTGCAGTTGTATAAGCAGTGAAATGTGCATCAGCATGAAGAAACAGCATGAAGAAAATAGCACATTTGAACTAAAGCACCTCCAAGATGTTTTAGCTCAAAAGCACACCACTGCCAATTTCTTTGTGCTGACACACATTTTGCTGCTTATACAATTGCAAGCATTACAGCACTGGGCACTTTTCAAAGCGGCCAGTGCTGTGGCGCTTGCATGTGTAAAAATGCCTCAAGTGTTCTCGGACATAGGCCCAGTTGGTCCTCCAGGCATCCCACACTGCATTACTCTTCCTCCACTATAAACATGCTGCTGCAATTGGCCACTCTGGTACATAGCCATAATTCTACTGTCCCCTCCTCTTCCCCCTCCCCACCCTACATTTTTTCCCCTTTTGTTGGCACTTTTAATCCATGAATTCCCTTAGCTTCTGTTGAACAGGCAATGTATCTTTATAACATCCATGTTTGTGCTCCCTCTCAGCTCAACTGCAGCCCCTCATCGTGCCCCCCAAGCATCTAGAAATCAAAAGCATGGGTCTCAACATTCCCCTACCCAAATCAGACAAGCACACTGCAGACTTTGGTCAACTGCAGGCTATTGGAGTTTATTCAAATCATGTTTAGGAGAGAAGGGAAAGCAGAAATGTGAAAATGTCCACAGCCACAGGTCACCTACCACTGGGACCTTGAAAGCGTTGGTGCAAGCACTCCCACCAGGAGATCCCAGTGTCAAAAAAAACCTGCTGTTAAAAAAAGCAGCATGGCACATGTGGCAGCAGCATGTGCCGCCAGAACTGGAACCTGGCTGGCCAAAGCCACGCTCTAGCTGTTGAACACGCTCCAAGTAGATAGATTGCTGCTACTGCTGCCCCAGGATGCATCCACAGGGAAGGCATCCACAGATGATGGTCCCAGCCTCTCCTATCTTACCTGGGACATTTGCCCTGCACCAACCTCACTTGCAGGGGCATGTGCAGCAGCAAAAAGAAGCAGCTCAAATTTGTGCCACTGCTATTTTTGCCACAGCAACCACACACCCCTGAATGTGGGGATTCATCCTATAAGTCACATCTTTTCTTTGCCTCTTGAATTATCAAAAAAAGGGAGTGCAGGTACATCACCACTGCTTCTTTCTTCTACTGTGTGAAGGCTCTGTTCTGTACCCATCACCCTAGTATCTTAATACTTTAGAAGTAGGCCTCCTAGAATGGATCCAAAAAAGATAATGGCTAAATTGGATGACAAACCAAGCTCCACCAGGGATAATTTAGTTGAATTACTTGGCTTTTTCACTGCTGGATCATTTCTACATCTCGCTCTTACTACAGATCCAAGAAAGGGACATTTTCATACACACCTTACATCTCTAGACTCATCATGTGAACAGAAAAGTCAGAAAGAAGAAGCCACTACTGCTTTTAGCAAAATATGCAAAACTTAAAGCACTGTAAGTTCCAATGGACTTAAATGGAAATATGTGCTATCAATCAGTTTATCTGGATATCGTCTCTCTCTCTCAGTTGACCTTATTCTTTCACTGATGTGAAGTTTTGCAAAACATACTTAAGGATTCTTTTTTTTTTTGGTGACATTGACTTTTTAGCTCTCATCTATATCAGATAAGTAGAGTAATGACTGTGGCATTAAGATTCTAGTAGTTTCAAATATACTGTCAGTCTAATCATGGGCTACAAATCTATACCTTGTATGATGGCTAGCAAGATGACAATTACAAAGAAGAAGAAAGTGATGTCAAAGATGATCCGATAGATTTCATATTCATCTCCTGCTGGATCCTCAATTTCATCACCAATTCCTCCACCTGCACGCACTCCAACATACATGTGAAACATGTAGCACTGGAAAACACAAAGTAAGAGTTCATTGTATTAAAGAAAATGCTTTTCAAGATTTCTCCCGCTGATTATTTTATTTGTAGAGCATCTAAGAGCCACAACTTCATTTCAGGTTCCAGATTGTCAGACACTGATAAACACACAGGTTAGGGACAGAAGTTACGCATAAACTCATTTAAGTGATTGGAAACTAGTTTAAACCTGTAACACAACAAATTCAGTGCACATACACAACTTTCAAAATGATTGAAACTGGTTTGAGATAAACCTGGTTGGATGTAGTATTAGACTTAACTGATTCAGGTTAAACCAGTTTATGGAACTTCTGTCCCAGATCCCTTCCTGATTCAAGTTAACTCACAGTTCCCCAGCACTGCAGGCTGTTTTGCAGCCCTGGGCTGTGATGTCTGCACCAACAGACCAAGGCTGGCCCAACCCCCAGCTATCAGAGCTGGGGCACTAAAACCTCAGCTCCCTAGCCTGCTTCCTGCCTGGGTCTGTCAGCCCAGTGAGACAGGGGGGGACAGGGCAGGAAAATGAATGCACAGACCCCACTAGCCCCAGGCGATGCAGCAGGGGGATGAAAAACCCTGGTGGTGGGGGATTTTTGCTCTTCCCCCCCACCCCTTACAGCCCAGTGAGCCTGGCAGGGATTGGCTCAACTCCACTCTCTCCTTAGCCTCTGCCTTCTAGGACAGAGGACCAAACCCCTCTCTGCTCCACTTGCTTGGGGGGGAGGGTCCCACCTTTTTCCCACCCTCTTCCCCCCACCCCTCTTGGATGCAGAGAGCTGAGGAAGTGGCAGGGCTGGAGTGATCCCAGAACACCTTGAGCTGTGGTGGGGGGAGAGGTGAAACCCCACCGTGGGTACTTTTCCTCCATGCAGAGCAGACCCCAGCTGTGGGGGTCAGTGTGGACAAGGGGTGGGTGTATTCCTCCTTTGGACCTTTCCCTTGGAGGCCAATGGCTGGGGAATGGGCAGGCTGGGATGAGCCCAGCCCAGCTGGGAAACTTCCCATTGGGTGCTTCCTCCCCGCAAGAGACTCCAGCTGCCAATCAGGCCTCAGGCTGCTGGGTCAGCAGCCTCAGGCAGCCTTGCCATGAGGGGTGATGCATGTGAGCACCCCCAGACTCCTGGCCTGGGCCAGTGAAGGCTTCTGCCTGTTTTGGCCACCCAAACACTGAACATCAGTTCAGTTTGTTACCGCTTCAATCTAAGTAGCTTAGAAAAAACTGCAAAGATCGAATTGATTTTGCCTTGGGTTTTTTGAACCTCTGTACTTACCCACAGAGACTGTCTCTATACTGAAAACCTTTTGGTCCAAATAAACAAGAATAAAAAGAGGAAATTTCATTCTTGTGTTTATTTAGAGGAGGAGAATAAAGGTACTAGGGGAATGAAATAAAACTAACCAGTCACAAAACAAAATTACTGGCAGAGCTGGAAATAAAAAACAGGCTCTTAACAGTCAGTGTCCTATCCACTCAAGTATGCCAACTCTTTTTTCCTTTCTATATTTGCATATACTACACTGGGAGTTGCTAAAGATTGAAATGGCAACATTTCCTGTTTTATAAGAAAGATCCAACATCCACTTGCTGCGAGTCAAATGGTATGCTGGGGCAGTATGGTTAAAACATACATTTCTCAAACTCATACAATATCCTCAGGTACATCTAAACAGATTTATGTATGGTTTTGCAGTTGTTTCTACAGGCAAGAGCACTCAAAGGAGCAATGTGGCTAGTATCACTTCTAGCCACCTAGACCCACCCCGAAGGATACCCATCAATTTTACAGATGGGTCACCTGAGACTGGTGTTAAGTATAAGTTTGGAGCAAGGCATGAATTCATATCCTAGATTCTGTAGCAAGATAACTTAACCACTCTACTGCTATATCCCTGATATAGTACTTCAATTTTCGGAATAAAATAATGGTGAAATACTTACAAATTTTGGAAAAAATTATGTTCTTAGATTTTGTATAGTTGGGTCTGGTGAATTAAGCATGGGGTGAGAATGTAGGCACTGCCCAATACTAATTCAGGCTTTGCATCCATATTATCTCCATTTTGATAAGCAGTAGCCTGTCTCCCAATTAAAGTGGTGGTATTATATTTACCTATATCATAAGGGTGATGATATTTACAAAGTTGTCTGAAAAATAAGCTCTCATACAGGGTAATGGTTACTTCTATAATCTGCTTCCTTTTAAATCAAGGGGTGTTTTTTTCCTTTCTTCTTTCATCATGTTTAGGGGATCAAAGGAAAATAAAAATACTACAGGGATTCTATTAGAATAATATCCTGTCATTAAAGACTCAGTGAAAAATTACAATACATTAAGATTCTGAAAAGTGCTTAATAATGGTAATATGGTGCTCCCTATTTATCACGTTACATTGCTTTTGTACAACATTTGCTCAGTTTAATACGTAAAAGATTTTTTTATGATTCCCAGCCTTTCAGACTCACACTTTTATCTCTGGATTAGGCTGGGCTCTTTCC